TCCATATTCAATGCTAATCCTCTCATCCTTTCAAGATACTCCACAATTTATCAAGCTCCAAGAGAAATCCCTCCTTCTTAGTCTGACTAAGCATCAAGCTCCACTTTGCTCCATCAAGTTTATGAGGTTCTATAATACCTCCATCTGATCATTTAGCAAAGCAACAACACATCTCAGATATCCATCGCTTGTGATAGCAGCTCCCTCTGCACCAAGACTAGGCTCACATGCATCCTTGGAGTTAACTACCAATTTCAATGTTTCCAACCTCCAAATAATTTCTTCCAACAAAATTTTCTCTTTAGGAAGGATAAGTTCAATGTACAAGGTATACGGAAAGGAATTCAATGACTACTTGAGGATCTTGCCCCATGTCTGCTTCTCAATAACCTCTCAGGCAACCTTTGCAGTATTGGTGGTAGTATCATCAACAACTATATTGCACTATTGGGTTCCTTCAGAGCGGCTTCACCCCTACACTTTTGCATGCCTCAAGAGGAAATGAATGACTCCTCCCTTCATCCAAAGACCCTTCATGTTCACCATTCACCCCCCATGGTAGCTAGAACAATGGGAGCAATCATCTCCTTCATTCCTACAATAGTGTTAGACGATTGATCATCCTAAATGAAACCTAAATCCCAACACTAGCATACACCTTCTTCAGTAAAGGATGAGCTGTAAGATCTACTGAGTCTACTGATAATTGCACATTCTCTTCAATAAAGACCTTACTCGATGTGGCTTCTTCCATATTCGAGGCCTTTATACCAGAAGCAAATTGCTCTCTTTTGAAAGCAGCCTTCCTGAATCCCTGAATACCAATAAGAGAGGATAGATCCATCTCATCAAATTTAGTGTAAGGCTCACAAGTTGGAAGCAAAAGAAAATATCTTCTTGACTTGATGCCAATATTTATATAGAAACCAAATAATTATACCAATTTGTCTCTAGAGATGCATGAACCTCACAGAAGTTTTATGGTAGTAAATTTGCATTTACTCATGCTCTCATCTCTAGTTTATGATTTATTTATCTAACCTTTTGACATCCAATAATAAAAGAGTTGAATAAATTGGGGAACTAAATGAACACTCATGACGACTTGTGCAAGTTCCCTTTCACTGGCATCTTACATGTTACATTTGGTTCATGCAAAAGAAGAATTCTTTCTTCTTCTTTTAGGATAGTTTGTTTAAGGGATTCACTCAAGAGCTGGGAAGGAGCTTAATTATCACTATAGCACAGCATACCACCTTTGGCCAAATCCTCCATGCAAGCACCCTCCCTAGTGGGGGTGACCATAGAAGTTTCTCTCTCATTTAGACATGTATTTGATCATCTTAGCAAAAGTCAAATCTCAAATGTGAGACCAATAAATAATCAAGCTAATGGAACTCATCTCGTCCACAAGACATCCTTCTTAATTGAATTATTATCGAGCTCAGAAATCTATGTCAAGTCCTTACTCGCCTCCTCTTGCTACAGTGGGGTGACCTCAAACCAGCCTCCTACTCAATGTTGACTTGATCTTTAGACTTCCATAGGTTCACCCTACCCACATCATCTCTCACAAGGTCGCCACTCCACTTAACATAGCTGGAAGAGCTATGTCAAAGATTGATAGCATAACTTATATACTCCATACATATTTTATTGTAACTCTCAAAGTCCTATGAATATAGGGAGGGGTATATAAGAAACACACCAATCTAAATCAAAAAAAAGAAGAGATACACTGAAATTGTGAAAATTGATGACAACATTTAAGTCATCTAGGACTTCGTGAAGATCCTTCAATAGGCTTTGAAAGAACATTAAATCAAGTTACCAACCATGGAAAGCACCTTCAGTTCTTGAGTAAGAGTAAGAAATGGCTATTCATCATGAGATGGTGTGGTCCGTACAATGGATGCAACTTATGAGTAAGAATTCTTGAGACAAAACTTACGAACGAGACTCCCAAGAGAATTCCTGAGAGGCGCTCTTGAGAGAGCCTCCGAAGATAAGGATATTGGAGAGATCGCTAATAACAAAACAATTATATCAATGTTTGGCCATAATCAACCATAACTATGATCAATATATTAATGACAAAGGTTGCATTAAATAGTATTGCAATCTTCTTTTATTTACACCTCATGGGAGGCATATTTATTTGATTCAGCAAATCAAGGATCCAAAAATGTTTAACATCTTATGCCTTTTAGATCAAATTCTAGTCAATGGAATAATGGATTTTCTCCATATTTTACTATCATCCCCCCACCACTTCCTTGCACTCTTTAAATGATTTTACTAGTTTTAACTTCAAATTCTTTAATATAAAAAACGACAAACTATAAGTCATTTTATACCAAAATTTCTCTTATTCTATTATGCTTCTCCATGCTCTACATAGAAAGGTCAGATTGTTCTCCTTTCTCATTTCGCCTATTCATCTCTTGTTCACGTACACAAAGCACAAATCACCCCTTCTCTCAAATCCCACAGCGAAAAAAACGTCGGCATCTATGTCTGCCTGTACGTTTTAAATTCTGAAATGCGTCAGCTTTATTTTATTTTAGCTAGTTCATAAGCCTGAAAGTACTTATTAAAAAGCTCTTAAATCTCTCTATTTGAGCATATTTAAATGTGCGTGTACGTACCTATTTACTGCTTTTGAGTTCCATGATGCAGAAGTTTCTTTAACAAAGTTATCTCTTTGTTCGTTAGGGAATAAATATATTTTCTACTTAGTATATAGTGTTGATTTTCAAGGCAGAGCTTGTTTTCTCTGAAGGTTCTGTGAGATAAAAGCCAGTAAAATACTCAATAGAAACTGGGCAATCATACAAGCATTAGATAGCATAAAAAATTCCAGAAGAATAAAGTTTAGGCACCCATGCATGCTAGCTAAAGAAGACAAAAAAGAATATATAAATATATTACATATTAAATTCAGCTGTAATTTTAAGAACTATTACATGTTGTTAACACATTTAATTTTCAAGTTCCTACATTAGTTTTTATTCTTTTATGTATAAAAATGTATGCATTGAGCTAAAGATCAAACTTCAAGGATTAAAGTGCTTTCATTAATATGAAATTTTTCTTGAAATGAAGTAAATTAGCTCTTTTTCAATATGGAGATTGAAGCTCTGTCGCCAAGATAAAATCCTAGAAATCACTCACAATTTTGCTTATAGGATGATTCAGTGTCCCTAAATGACAAAACATTGGAGTTTATAAGAGGAGCTTATAAGAGGGTATACGCCGCCGATTCAGGATAGTATTTTATTGGAGTGTAGAAAGGAGGAATTGTGCATTGGCTATATAGAACATTGTTGAGTCTCTTTTAAGATATAGAACCATATTCAACAAAGATGTGGAAGTTTAAGAGGGCAAAGTTAAAAGGGTTTAAGTTAAAAAAAAATAAAAAATTCTGAAAATTTTAAGAATAAAGCAAAAAATTAAGGATTTTTAAGATTAAAATATATTTTCAGACGTAAAAAAGCTTCGACGTTTGAAAATAGTGGGCAAATGATTCAAGTTCAAAAAATATATAACATTTACACAAATCTCGATACAATGTTTTAATAAAAGAAAGTTTAAAAATTAAATTCAAGATCATATGAACTTTAATTTTAACAAACTTATAGTCGAACTAAATGTTAAAAATGAGAATTTAACTTTTAACAAGACATAATGGAAAAAAAATCATTCATGTAGCCAGCCACATATAGTAGGATAATGTCTTGAGGTTGTTATCGTTGTTGTATAGTCAAACTAATTTTCTGAAGGAGACAAACTTATGATCACCCCAAATGATCCGATCCAACCCCAAATGACCTTAAATCAAGCAATAGAATTATATTTGAATTTTTTTTAATATTAATTGATGGATCAAATGACATTCAACTATAGCATGCTTATAATCATATCGAGTGGCTTGACAAGACAAAATTTACTTTATTTTGACATCATTATGGCATTCAAATGTCCAATAAATGATCTCCTATCAAGGGTATCAATATGGATCTTACAATGAAGTAATTTATATTTTGGCCAAATTTACCAAAATGCTCATCTCCGAAAACTTATAAATATAGCCTCATTCTATACAAAAGGAAAGGTTCAAGAGATGGAAGAACTTAGAAGCTCTCTTGCATTTTTTGGTAATCACAATTGACGACCACCACTAGCAATCACTGCAACCATCACTATACTTTTGTAAATGTATAACCTTGTTGTTGGTTTTTAATTCTTTGCTTGTGGACACCAATCTTTTGTTAATATCTATAGAGAAAATCGAAAAACTGTGTCGTTACTTCTCTCATCTTCTTCAATTGTGAGGAAATGAAGACTTCCATATCTTCTACTCAATTGTGCGTCAGGTCTCGTGATTTTACCCCTTATGGGATTTTCTATGCAAAAAATTTCTCGTCTCCTACAACTTTTTCTATGTGTGCTGAACTTTTTATCCAAAATTAAGATATAAAACACACACTCCACCGCTATAAATGTTCTAGCACATTGCAAGAATAAACTAAAATTTAAACTGCTGTAAAGATAAATCATATCTTCAAATTAAACATAGCATTTTCTACATCTTTGTTATTTTTCTCCCATTCCAGAACATAACTAACAGCTTTTTTTCTTGTCTGAATCAAACATTAGATTTTTCATCTTTTCACCTGAAACTGGAAGTGTTAAATAATGAATTCAAAGGTCTGTATCATTATAAACTTATAGTTGCTCTCTAGTTATTTAAACTGAGGAAATTATTTGATCATGGAAAGCATTCCCTTCCTCTAATATCTTTCAAGATTACTTGATCATGGAAAAATCTATTTTATTATCAATTCCGCAACTTGCTGAGTTGTTTTAATGATGAGATGGGTTAAGCTGTTTTCTTAATGTTGCATTATATGGGATGTTCATATAAATAACTCCTTAAGCTCCTACTTGAAATAGCCCCTCTTCATTGATGATCTCTGGTTCCTTGTTTAAAATCAAGCATGGATCCTGAGGGAGTGGCGTCGAAATCGAGATGGAGCTCCTTCAACTCAACAATGGCGACGGAGGCGTCCGAGTTATTGGCTCAATTCCTTGGTATCCCTACTTTCTCCAATGAGCTAGAACATGATCCAAGCATGTTCTTGCAATCCTTGCTCTGGTCTGATCATGGAATTGATCCTTACTATGGATCTCAAGATGTCAACACAAATATGTGCTATTGGCCTATGGAGAATAGCTGCAATTTTAGTTCCTTGAGCAACTCAAACAAACAGATTTCAGAATATGAAAGTTACTACAACAACATGGAGCCAAATATGATGCCAACAATAGGAATAAGATCTGAACCAACACTATTGTGCATGGAAGAAGATAATATAAATACCACATCGTATAAGACAGATCAAAGAAATCATTTTGATGATAAGAATTTCATGAATGATGGTGAAGGTATAGGAACAACTAAGAAATCACAAGGCATGAGAAAGATTCAAGTTTGCGACCGTGTCATTGATTCCATCAATATTCAAACCTCTGATAAGAAGAGAATCCGAGCCTCATGGCAGGTCAGTGCAAAATTTTGTTTAAGTGTAAATTCAATTTGTTTTCCTTATATGAACTGATTTCTAATCTAATGAGAGATTTTTATAATTAGTTCAGGAAGGAAAGAGTACTGGTAAGAGTTCAAAATCCAAGAAGGCTGATGTGAATGTTGAAGTTGGGGAAGAAGAAGTGGACAATGCTTCTGCTCATATTGTGCAAAGTTCTAGCTGTTACAGCTCTAAAGATGAGGCTAACACTTCACAAGAATTGAATGGAGGAGATGGCACGAGCACAAGCACGAGCTTGAACGGATCGATGGTGTCTCTAAATTCAAATGGAAAGAAGAGAGCAGGTAGAGGATCTGCAACTGATCCACAGAGCCTGTATGCAAGGGTAAAAGCCTTCATCTTTATTGGTCATGAACATCTCTTCAATTGATGCTTCATGCTGAGATAAACCATATAGTGAAAAATAGTTCTAAATTGAAAGTTAAATTCTAATGAATAGAATCAAACTGTTTAATACAGAAAAGGAGGGAGAGGATCAATGAGAGATTGAAGATACTGCAGAATTTAATCCCAAATGGGACCAAAGTAAGTGTTTTTTGCTTTAGGAAGAAAATTTTGTTCTTGAAATGAAAAAATTGCACCAGAACAAGTTAAAATTTTTTGTCATAAATAGAACACAAATTATAAAAAAAGGAAAAAAATTTCATGATAAATATGCTAATTACATAACTATTTTGTATTTTGATCATTTATCATTGCAATTCTGATGCAATAACATATTTCTTTACCTGGTTGAAATTATCAATATGTTGATGTCAAATAAATGAAATTCTGATTTTATTTTTAACAGGTAGACATCAGCACAATGCTGGAAGAAGCAGTTCAGTATGTCAAGTTTCTGCAGGTTCAAATCAAGGTAATCTTTACAGGCCATCCATATAAGTTAGGACTATCAAATTTTGGCTTCGCTTGGGATAGCTTTCTTACTACTTCTTAGAGCAACTTTTTAGTACAAAAGATTTATCAGTAACTGTGAGATATGATTAACTGATCATAATGTTTGTTTTTTTCTAATTTTGTTTGTACTTTTAGCTTTTTAGCTCAGATGAACTATGGATGTATGCACCAATATCTTACAATGGGATAAAAATTGACCTTGATCTGAAGATGTCTCCATTTAAAATTGGCTAAGTATTGCTTGGTGTCTGCATGCAACCCTTGGAGGAGGGATAACTGTTGAAATTTATATGTGGAAAATCAAAAGAACTATCAGATAAGACTACATAACAATGTTGTAATGAGTTTATATGTAAAATAATTAAGAACTCTGAAGAATTGTAAGTTCCAATTCTAGTTCTACATTTATTACTTTGTTCCATAGTTTTGGGTGTGGTACAATTGCAATTCGTTCTGATTTGAAAGAGCAATTGAACTGAAATGAGTAGTTCAGAAACTGAATCAAATTGGGATTATTGATTGGTTAGAGAGTAATTTGATTAAAATGAAAGAATAAACTATGATAGGATAATTATTTGTTTGCAATATTTTTCTCCTAACATTCGACTTAAAGTAGGATTCTCAGAGCACTCAAAGGAGACTGGAATGATTATTTTTTATATTTCCGATGATATTTATAATTTCAAAAGATTTTCAAATCATATAAATTTATTATAAAATGCCCACTTTATCACAACAGTTCCAATGACTCCATAACACCCAAACTAGATGCTTGAAGTCACTCAAATTAGATGGACTAGAGGATGTTGGGTTGTTTTGTATCGAACTTCCTAATAAAATTGGACTTAAAAAAATTCATAGTTTTGAGTAAAAGAAAGTAATATGAGGGGATTTCTACTCACATAGAAGATTCTACAATAAGATAAAAGGAGAGGCATTTATTGTTGTTAGAACAACCAATCAAATCCACATTTGTGCAAAACACTCATGGAAATTTTTATATTATTATTTTTATAAATAATTGAAAATAAGAGTACCTGAGTCATAAGTTTCATAAAGGGGAATAATCACTAAGGTTAATTACACTCTTATACATCTCTAAATATACCCTAAAAGATTCTCTAAAATTCAATAAGATGGTGGTGAGACCTGCAATGTTTTATGGTGTTGAATGTTGACCATTAAAAGAGAAACATGATACTATATTAAGTGTTGCAGAGGTGAGGATGCTCAGGTGGATGAGTGGCTTTACTCTTAGAGATAGGATATGAAATGAGCATATTCCTGAATATGTTGGTGTAGCTCCCGTAGAATAATAGATTAGAGAGAGTCGTCTTAGATGGTTTCATCACATAAAACTACAGCCTTCCGATGACCTAGTTAGGAAAGTAGAGGTATTAGATTTGACTTATGTTAAGAAAGGTAGAGGTAGACCTAAAAGGACTTGGTTAGAAAATATTAAAAATGATCTTTATTTGTTAGATTTAAACGAGAATTTGACTTTTAATAGGGCACAATGGAGAAAAAGGGTTCATGTAGCCGACCCAACATAGTAGGGCAAAAGCTTGATTTTGTTGTTGTTGTTTGTTGTTGTATTTGTTATACATTTTAGTTTTGTTCTTCAAGTCTTTCTTTTCATCCTTTTTGTAATAACAAATTGAGGAGAATATTGTGATTATAATATATTTATATTTTTTCTTTTTCTTTTTAATTGTCTATATTCTGATTTATTTCTTTTGATTACAAATGTACTCATATTTGTTTACAATTATCTAGTAAAAATAACTAAAGTATAAAAAAGTTTTTAAGTTTTGCCAAGTTTTTATGCCTTTATTTATAAATGTCATTGTACATATTGCTTATTAATATATAGTTTTAAGGCTATAAAATTGGGTGGAGTTATGAAAACCCTAAATGAAGTGTATATAACCAAAAGTATGTTTGTTATCATTAACACTGAGAAGATTGTTAATACCATGAGCAGATTGTACAACTATAGTATTTTGATCATTACGAACATAATTTGGTTTATCTGTCATTTTACTAACACATTTTTATCCCAAGTGTTTTAATATTAACATTGTAGGAAGAAAATACATAATGTTAGGTACACTACAAAGAAAATATATGTGACTCAAGGATTGTTCATAACTCAAGAATAATAATGCATGCATTAAGGCGGACTCAAACAAATTAAAAAAAATAACAATCTACAGAGTATGCAACATGCATGAAGCTACATGAGTCATAACTTATATTTTTCATTTTATTGAGTCTCTGGTATTGTGTTTTGGTGAAATGATTGGAAGAGAAAGCATGCACATGAAAGCTAAAACTAAAATTCAAACTTACTTTAAAAAATTTAATATAAATTGTTCAAATTTAATCATACTATATGATATAATTCATATTGTACATTCTTCCTTAATTTATGATTTGAGATAAGTTAACTTTGCTTTAATTTCTTGGATTAAAAATTAAATTAATTGTACTACATTAAGTGGATTGTTTCGAATGATCAACTTTAATTCAAATAGTAGAATTGTCTAATTAGTTGTCTTAATTAGATTAATTTAACTAGATTAATTTAAATACTAAATAAATTGTATTAGATAATGTTTAACATACTATATCTTAGTTTTCCAAAATTAGTATAACTGAGCTCTAGAAATTACAGACTTATGAGAGATGATTTAGATCTCACATAACACTATTATTTTCATAAAATTAGGGTTTTGACCTACTATAAAATATTATAAACATTATTTTCAAATTCTAAGATGTTTGCTATAAAAGTGAAAGAGTGCATATAATCAAGAAGGGTGGGATGGAGGCATTTTTGTCAAAATAAATCATCTTTTCTTTGATTTAAAAAACACTTTATGAGATTACTACTTTTGCTTGTGCAATTGTTTGTCCTTTCTTTCTCCTACATCATGTATCATATAGATTGATTGTTGAGGCCACTATAAAAGCTTTTGATATAGTCTTATAAGAGATTCATGAGAACTTGAAGAAGCTTGCTTTGAGATTTGTTAGGTTCGCAGTGGGCTAGAACAATGGCTTTTCGCTTGGAATGGAAGGAAGAGGTGTATGGTTTAGTGAAATCATGAATATGAGAACTTGGGAAGTGGATGTAGGTGTTAGTACTGAACCAAAAAAATTAGATTGTACATTTCTTATCCTTTATTTTTTCATACCAATGTTTTATCTATTTACAAGATCTTATTGATTCTCCTTATGATATAATGAAAATAAATATTTTGTTTGATATCTCATATGATAAAATGATTGGAATTTTCAAATTAGCTTGTGCTTATTAGCATATACATGTTGTGAGCCAAATTAGAATGTAAAATCAATTAGGAATATGTTGTTAGTTGTAGCAACATCATAGAGATATCATAGTGTTAAAATCTTTTCTTCTTTCTGAAATTCAAAATGAAATATAATTTTTGTTTTGCTGGATTTTACATAAGAGAAAGAAAATTTTTTGAGCAAAAATTTGGTTGATTAGATTTTAAATTTCATACAAAGTAATGCACCCCGATTGGATGTATTATAAGTAGAGAAAGTCTGTGTGGTTATTCTCTTGATTGTTTTTCCACGAAAAAAAAAGTAAAATTTATCCCATGCCACTTGTTTTTTCAACTTCTCTAACTATGTTCAATGTCGTGTTGCTAAGCTAATTGAAGTCTTTCTTCTGCAAATAAAAAAAAAAATCAAACTTTCTCCCATGGAAACTTTCTTTAAGAAATACAAACTAAATGAAATCTATAACAAAATAAAAGTAAAAATATCAAAGACTTAATATTGATATCATCATCTTAGTGCAGATATTTTTGGAATAAGAAAAGAAATATATATATATATATATATATTATTGTATAACGTACCATCTCAATAACTCGCTCTCTCCCAAATTGACCATTCTCGTGAATGCTCACCATGCTCAACTATAGGAAAGCGACTACTCACATGATCATTAGCTCACCTCACCACAACCATTTAACTCAATGCATCTCCCTTTCCATGACAATAAACCTCACTCTTTCTCTCTCTCTCTCTCTCTCTTTCTCTCTCTCTCTCTCTTCTTTAGTGATTTGAGTCTATCATATGAGTCACTCACAACATTAATAAGACCGCTCACTGGAGCACTCCGACCTTACCGTCTTTCATCCAATCAAAATAAGGCATGCATCTAAGGGAGTTTGTGTAGCATTCTACAATTTCTCTTCTTTATACAGCCTTTCTATTAGCCTCCAAAACCATATAAATAACATGTTAGGAGGAGCCATTTGGGACTTTTGATTAATCTAGTAGATTCCATGTTAGTTTGAGACTCATAATTTCCTTGAACATTTGATAGATTCTCTCTTCCTCTATGCTCTACTCTCCACTCTCCATTCTCATGCAAGTTTTAGCTCATCAAGTAGGCCAGCTAGTAAATTGGGTGTAATTTATGGGGATTGCTTGGAGTCAATTTTTAATTGTAGAAAAATCTAAGGCTCTATTACCCCTAAACAAAGCTTAAGTTTTCTTTAAAATAAATAATAAAAAATATCACTTAACATATGCAAGTATATGTGCTAAATCAAGTAATTATAAAGTGATAGAGTAGAGTGTCGAACCCATGAGGAAGTATGCTTACTTATAATAAACTACTACCGTTTACTCTAATTACAATAATTTTCCTACTGAAATAAAATTGATATTTGTGGAGATTCTATCACTGAATAAAATAAAAAAAAAATATTAGATTCAACTTTTAATGTAAGTATTTTGGATTGATGAGTATATATTTCATATATTTCTTTATGAGACTCTTAATTATAGATTTGATTCATAACATATGCATCTTTTGATCTTTGTCGAGCTTGTAGGGGAGAAATTAAAGAATAACTGCTAACCTTCTACAATTAAAGTATATCCTTAAGAACCTAAAATATTCTTCATCCTACATTTAGGCATGCAAATATTCCATCTCAAAATTCATGGTTGTTCTTGCATTCATCCATCGAGACTATACATTATACTATATTTTAATTACACATATGACCACTTTGTGTATTGAATTAAGAACGGAATAATATTAAAAATATAATTTAATATTTATAAAATAAGAGTCTTCATTAGTACTTAACATGCATTTTACATCATCAATCCAAAATAATGGAATTTGTAAGACATAGAATAAATGACAAGCAAATTCATTTTCATTAAACTCATGGAAG